CCGTGCGCGCGCGTCGAATGGAAATGGATTTGATTTGTACGATGAACGCAACATCGTCTAATAAAACAAGGAAAGAAAAAACGTTCCCAGCCAACTTGGATAATTGAACTGCCCAACAAAAAGCCAATCAGTCATGTCGCGCGATGCCACGTCTCCTTTTATTATCAATCTGACGACGTTGATCTTTCGACTGGCTCTCACTTTCTTCTTTTACCGCGCTGGCGACTTAGTCATATCGATTCTCGTTCGCGATTTTTGTGTAATAGGTTAAGTGACCCAGAAAGCTTTAATGCCGTCTGGAGATTAAAAAGAATTTTTAAAATTAATCGTTATAATGGTAATTTTGATTTGAGATATTTTTTTTTGTATAGAGTGGCATGATGGATAAGCTTGCTGTAACTCGACCTAGGTAATGAATATCGATTAGTAAAATGTTCTTTTAATAATAGATCCATTTTCTGTTTTTGATTCGCTAATTGGTGAAACTTCATTGATGGAGAATTGAAATATTGTTATTTATTCCGCAAGAAGCCATAAAAGCCATTGAGTCATTTCATTATAGCATCAATCGTGTAACGAAAAATTAACTCGCCAAAACAACTGGTCTAGCATTCTCAATTTGGTAGATCTCTGGCGGCGGGCACTAAGTGGAAAAAATAAAAATTTCACACGCGACACAAAAGAGGTACACTCCTCGGTAACGCTCCCTTTTTTCTCGTCCGCGCCCTAATAGAAGCGAAGGACTCGACGCCCAATTGAAATGTCCAACGCATTATAATTGCACTGCACTGCGCGCGACAATAGCCAGAGAGCGCGCCAAGTAGACAGCTTCCATGAAGGCCGACTTGGATTACCTCAATCTCCGGCTGTTTCTTTTCGGTATACCAAAGGCTCGGCTCCCAAGTGCGTTTCCGCTGTTTAGGTATTTTCAATCATGTGCACTCAAGTGTGCGTATGACTTATACGAAAGGGCGCTAGATTTTGCCGCTAGAGTCTATCATTTTTTAATTAAATAAATATTTTGTTATTTAATTTGTAATTGAACGTTGAACAATTGTTCATTTACTTGTGCCCTGACAAAGGCCTCACTTTATATAAAAAAACACTACACCTCAAACGATTTGTCTCCTGAGATAGAGGTGCGGAGGATCTAATAGCCGTGCTGTTGCGTCGTAGACTTTTGGGAGGATATGGCCTTTTGTTAAAGGATTATGAGTCATGCATGTGTAATTTGAATTTTTTTTTTTTTTTTTGGAATGCACCCGCTTCATATTAAGCTGTAAAGAAATGGAGTTCCTTGTTTAGGATTATGAAAGATGGAACGTTTTATTTGAAGATATATTATGCAAAACAGTATTATTTATTACTTTTTAGTAGCTACGCATTGAAACAGGTGGGATATATCGTAGTAAATTTCCTTTTGACGCATCGAAATGGAATTTGTTGATGCTTTTTGGATTCTAACATTAGGTAACATTAATTAAATCAGGTTAAATCATGTTAAATAACAATTTTGATCAGCGTCAACGAGTTGGTGTTTAACGTAGTACATCTGTCATTAAAATAACTTTCACTTTACAATATACAAATGAAAAACTCATTGTCAATAGTTATTTATTTGATTTTACGTCATCTCAATAATAAAAATAGCCACAATACAATGACATGAATGTTAAGTAGCTAACTACTTCTCGAAAGAAAGGAAACGTTGCTCAACAGATTTCTTTTTATTTCACTACGAGTGAAATAAGCCCTAAAAATCGGATTAACGGTCGGTAAAAAAAATAAAAGAATTTTCATTGTGTAAAGTCGTTGAACCTTTACCTTTTTCTCTCTGTAATGACACTCTATGCATACACTACCTCAAGTAGAATATTTTCTAATAAGTTTGTTACGTTATTTAAATTATGACGCAGCTCAGTTTTCTATACTTGTTTATGTCTACTACTGATGCATATAGATTATGAAAAAACTGATTTAAATTTATTATATTTTATTATTCATATAGGCAAATTATACTCAAGTATTTTTCACAGTGCTATGTTGTAAAACTTTATCTTATTAAAAAAAGATGTTTGCATCGTAAATTATATCACTTATTATATTTCTACTTAAAGAAAAGTCTGCTGTGAAACTTATCTTTACGTACATGACAAATTTATTCAAAAAGTTATACTACTTTAGCTTATGCTTTGCTATCTTTTCGGAGGTCTCTGTTTTAGCCACGTGCAACCTTTCAAACTTAATTTCAGATAATCCCAACAAAAATATTCACTTTCTATAAAAATGATAAGCAAGATTTCATTATATAGATACATGGTGTTTACACTATGATAATTTACTTCCGCACTTCTGTCGTTTTCGATAGCTAAAAGTGACATTTGGTGGTAGATAGCCATAAACACTGGTGGACGAGGTTCGAGTTTGTTTTAGTAGTTCTTGTAAAATGCGAGTAATGTTTTTATTTTCATGTGAACTTACTTGGAAAAATTTCCAAAAGATACACAGCAGGACGTGCACTGAGTTGCGGGATCAATGTAAGTCATACAAGTAATACGTGAAAATTACAATAAACGTTACGTTCAATTGTATTGTCAAGCAGATTTTCAAGATTCCACGCCGAAAACGACGTGTCCGCCGAAATACGACAACTTTCTCTGTTGGCCAGAAACTTTGGGTCTACAAAATGCGTCTCTGGCCTGCCCACGAAATTCACGAAAAAATGACGGTAGCCTAGTGTTCATTGACCGATCTTGCACGACAAAACACGAGCATCACAATAATCTGACGGTTTTGCAATGGTCGCGTTGGCCTAAATACAACGATTGCTCGATTCCAAATTTAAAAATGGGCGATATCATTCAGGAATATTCATTGATCGATCCATATTATAGATTTCATTCGAGTCAACGAATCAAGGTAAGTATTCAGTTTTTCGTTACAAGTATTATTGATTCATGATATGATATGTGATTCAGCTATGGAAAGATTACGAATGGCTCTATATCATGGAACAATGCATGTATTTACTATCGATCTTTTGTTTGATTGTCGCGTTGTTCATTTATTGGAAATATAGGTAAGCTTGCTTTTTTATATTGATTCGAGTGAGCCGTATTTATGAACGAAATAAATATTTGTTTGCAGTCGCTTGCGAAGTATACTAGTCAAAATGCACATCAACTTGTTCATCGCTATGCTGTTACAGTTTGTAATTTCCTTCATTCGTAATAGCGTTTTTGCTTGTAAAATATTTTATGGTAATATACGTTACGACGATGATTACTGGGATGTAAGTCAATTTAAAATTGACTCTTCTTTACCAAAATAATTAAGTGTCTTGTGTATCGAGGCTATTGTGTGCAAAATATTAATGATATTCAAAAACTACTTTGAATTAAGTAAATTTACATGGATACTGGTCGAAGGATGGTTTTTCATAAATCAATAAGCGACCCGTTCTATCAAGACTTTACTTCATTGAAGAAAAATTTAATATTGGGTTGGGGTAAGGAACTATATATATTTCTTAACAAATGAATGCCGAATGTAATGCTTTTTTAGGACTACCGTTGATGCTAATAATAGTATGGATAGTGTGCAAAGTACTTTGGTCAATAAGTTTTTGCTGGGTCGATTTTGAACAGAAATTCGATGTCCTCAGTATTACAATACTTTGGATTATTTTGGTAAGTATGAAATTTCAAATTAAATATAAATTGTAAAAGATATAGTCCCTGATGAACCAAAATAAGAAATATGACATTTGGTTGTTGATTGATCGTGAATATGCTTTTCAGATCAATATGTTCTTTTTTGTATTGAATTTGAGAATTGTACTCAGCAAAATAAAAAGTACGACAAATACTTGTTTGCATAGAAAGAAGTACTTTTTGAAGTTGGTTATGTTGGTATTATTTTTCGGAGCTTACGACATTTTCTATACATTGTGGCCTTGGATCGGAAATGAGCAAAAAAAGTTTTATCTGTTGATCATTGTACAAGTGATAAATCCCACTCAAGTCAGTGTTCATTATGTAACTGTTTAAGTACAAAACGCTATAATATTGAAACTATATTTTCAGGGTTGCCTAGTAGCAATTCTTTATTGCTTCATCAACGGCAGCGTAAGAAAAGAAATTCAAAGATCATGGAGGAATTGTAAGTCAAAATGGGAAATCAATGTCAACGTTTTGAGACAGAATATTTTACGGATGAGGAATGCTGGACAAGTAAAATTAATGCTTACCTTAAGGGTTCCTGATTACACTGCGCACATTTAAGATTATCTAAGGTTGCAAGATTCACAAACATTTCTAATGAATATACAGGCGCTAGAACGACTATTGTCTGCTACTTGAAAAAATGCAATTTTCATAAAGTTTCCGAAAATTCATGAGCACGACATTAGAAAATAAAGAATACACAAAAGAATATAGGTAGACTTGTAATAGACGCATATTATTGTAAAGAGCCTGGAACGAATGAGGTAGCAAACTCTTCAAATTTAAGTTACTGATACGGTAGAGCGATTTTCATTCATTTTAATAAATCTATTCGCCCAATGGTGCTAAACTGAAAGATGGCGTGTCACATTGATCTGGAAGCAGTTAAAGTACGGATATTACAGTAAAATTGCTGGTTTTAAATACACGCCGTGATAAATGTCTTATGGTCGCGTCGAAAAACTTGTTGTTCATTGCGATAGATGGAAATTCCAATTCGACGGGCGTGTAGCAAACTGCCTCCGATACCTTCCAATCAAGCGCCAATCCATCTAAAATCTTTCAGTCTCCCCTCCCAAACAAATAAAAAAACTTTAGCCACCCCATTGATGACGGCAAGTCTCGCACGAGCAATCCTCGAAGAAACATAAAAAGCCGTTGGAGGGAGAAGAGAGTAGACAGATAGCACGCGTGCCGAAGAAAATAGTAGAAGGAGAAGCTCAAAGAGAGGGAGTAGAGAGACACACTGGCCGTTTGGTATACGAGAAACTCGCGCGACCGTGCGGCAGTCGAAACACGACGTCGGCCCGCGACTGATTAACGTGATTCCGAGGCCCGCACGCTGGGCGCCCAAGTGTGCAACAGCGGCCTCTTTCTCTTGTGATCTCGTGCGAAAATTACAGTGTTGTTGTTTACGGAAGAAGCAGCCGCAGATTCTTGTTTCTTTTATTTTTCGTGCGCAGCGTACAACGAGAGGTAAGAGGCGAGTGCAAAGTGCGTGTTTATTGACATGAAGCGAGTGATGGATGGGCAAGGAAAACACTGTCGATAGATAACATTTCCTCTCGAGATCGTTCTTTGTCATCCTTGATATCGCGAAGCAATAAAAAAAAACAGAAATGTGCGACTAGAAGCGTCGAGGATTTTTTCTTTCGCGGAAATAAGACACGAGCAAGATACGTTTGCACGCTTATGTAAAAAAAGACTCGGATTTATAATGATACGTTGTGGGGTTCGGCAATCTTCAGTGATTGATAATGCTGCTATCAAAAAGTGTCGTTCGCACAGTGTCACTTCCCTCTCAGAAAAGAAAATCGAAACAATGTACCGTATTGTGCATTCGGCTTATCGATGAAATTACTCAGGAGTCGTGACAACTTGAGGCATTTTCGCGCGTATTTATCGTTACCCCATTGTATCGTCCGACGCGTCGATCAACGTCGACGCTAAGATATCGCGGAGTGACGAGTTCGCGCGGTCAATATTGCCTTTTTGTCGATCTAAAGTGGACTTTCCAGGAGCCTATTTTTTTGCCGTGGGATGGTGTTTGTGGGAATGCCAAGTGCTCCAGACTCATAGTTGATGGCTTCGAGAGTGTTAAACTTCGTGAAACTCGATGCATCGTGCATGCATTGAGTGGCACTTTAAAATAAACTTTGTATACAGACAAACAATTTTCTTTAATTGAAGATGAAGTATATATACAATCTATCATTCCTTGACACACTTAGTAAGGCATTAATTTGTATGTGACATAGATCAAAAGAAAATTTATTTCAGTCGCATGTGATGCGAAGGGAAAGCGCACTGTCCGAAATTAATCGTTTTCTATATATATATGTGTGTGTGTGTATAAAAAAACACGTTTTGTATAACAAAGATCAACCGCATGTATGCGAAAGCCACTTGTACTCTCTCGACATCAAAAAGAAAGAAGCCGCTGCAAATGAAAAAAAAAAGAACGGCAATAATTTGTCCGAAAATCCGAAGGGCAATCAATCTTCGAACCGTCATTACTGTGTACCCTGAGTTTTTTTTTTGCTTCATCATCACGTGCAGCTGTCTGCGTGTGCACAGAAGTTAGGTAACTCGAGCGAGCGCGGGTATATGCTTTTTAGCAGGCACACATCGCCATCGTCGGCACACTTTCGAATCTCCCCGTACGCCTGGCTCTCGAGAGACATTAGCGCCAAAACGCGCTCGCTGATAAGATTGCAAGGATGCGTTTCGCAATGGTAATGAGGCGAAATTGTGCCGAGCGAATTAGTCGCTGGAAAAAAAAAATGAGAAATCTTTTCTCTCCTTTTACGCGATCTGCTCTTGTTTTCTCTTGCGAACTTGCTCGCCCCGGAGCTTTTGCAGCTTCACGAAGAGACGCACTTTTGCCGGGATCCTCGGAAAGAGTAAAGCCGAAGTTATTTCGACTATTTGATATCCGTACGAATAAGCGTTAGCTTCAGGGCTTACTCGAGTGCATTAACGTATCGTAAAATTAAAAGAAAGAAAAAAGAAAAAAAGTGTGTTCTGATTTCACGACGACTGACGATGTTTACTCAATAGATATTCCAGATCGTGATTAGATAATGTATTTTCCTTTTCTTCGGACATTTCCAGCTAATTCATTTGCCATCGACGAAAAGACAGATAACGATCCATTCATTTTGTCGAAAAACGAAAGTCGCTCGGATCGTCTAATCTCTCTGCGTTGAGCAACTCTTAGTGGGCACCACGTTGCATCAGTTGTCGCGCGTTTTATGCCATTGATAAAAATTGTTATAATTCGATGCCTCTGTTTTGCGCGCGCACGCGAAAAACTTTATAAGACTGGTTGCTCGCGTTTTATCAGTCGTAAGAGCTGCGATTATCGTCGCTTTGTAACCTTCGTCGAAAAAGAACTTATTTGTGCGACGGTGGCGGCGATATTGATAAGGCAACGAAACGATTCGTAATTCGTCGATAGTTTTTCTTTTTCAGAATGCGATCGTTTTCACGTGCCGAGGATTAACCAAAAATAAAAAAAAATGCAATTTCTTTCGTGGAAGAGATGACAAGCGGGATAGATTTTTGCGCTGATTGCGCAATCGGAAAAGTACAGGTGATCTGCAGTGACCGAATGAATCGCTGAAAGAGAGAATTGAATAAAAGCAACGCGTGAAATTGGATCTCGCACGGCCTTGGTGACCTTACCGATCAGCTGATAATAATACATGTGAATGCTATCGTCCTGTACGAGAGAGGACAGAATATAACGATAGTTCTACCGTGCGAATGGCAAAGGAGGTAGTTTAAAAGGCTTTCTTTGAAAAAAAATTGTGTGTTATATTTATATCTTCTGTTTAGTGACCGAAGAAACTTCTGTCTCTTCCAAGGATATTTGATCATATTTTTCTCTCATAGACGCTTCTGGACACGATAATTGAACAAGAGGCTGCGTTCGTGCAACAAAATAACTCGCTGAACGTGTCGGGTGTAACGCGTACGCGAAACCAATGCGACGGGGAAAAATGTAAGGGACTTTCTCGGGAAACCTTGAGTGGATAATCTTTTTACGCGCGTCCGAACTTGCGAGGAGTACATCCGTACACAGAATCGTAAAAATACGCATCGAATCGCAACGAACTTTCCCTTTTATCCGTAAAGTTTCGCTTCTCGGCATTTTCAGTACATATTTTTATCTCGGACGAAGCGTCACTTGTCACCCGTAAAGAAAAAAACCCAACGCGCAGTCGTCCGTCTGTCGCCGTGCGGGTTTCTTTTTTTCTCCCCGCTCTCGGTCTTTTTTGAGGTGACACTCTCGACTCCATTTTTTTATACGATGACGATGCGCTCGCAGGTAACTTTTTTTGCGTATAAAACGATTTATTATTTGATATGATTTTCATTGAAAACCTTATCGATCAAGCACGTTGGCAAATGGCCTCATGGATTTGGTAATTCGCCAGTACACGGTTTCTCTTGGAAAGCCGAACGATGAACTGGAAAAACATTCAACGTGGATTTTCCCCCAAAAATACACTGACTCCCGATTGAGCGAACTTCCGTTTAAACGACAATATATATTTTGGAAATAGAAGTGCACGCGGAGAACGCGTGCAACGCGAAGGACAACGAAGGCGTAGGAGAGGAGAGAAATAGTAAGACGATTTACCTGATATTGTTCTTATCGGCGAGCCGCGAAAGAGCCTATCGATATGTGAAGCGCGGCTTGGTGCTATCTTTTCGCCAGAAGTATGCGTTCATGTTTTTATAAAGAATCTCAGGTTATTGCTCAATACACGGCTTTCAGCGCGTTCTCTGCTTTGTTGTCACGTTTCATGTCGAAGGAGTCCATGCATAGCTCGCAATTGAATTTTAATGACAATCGTAGGGTGCTGAAACTCCGAAGGTAGCTCGTGAAAAGAAAACTAAAATAGCTTATAACCGATTGTGCTATCGATTGGGATTTCATCCAATTCCAAGCTACCAACGCTCTAAGCTAAGCCACTGCAACATCCAGGTGCAATTACCGGGATAAAAGGAACATCGGCCATTAAAATTTCAGTCTCACTCGCAGCCAGAAAAACGCTCTAAACAGTACGAAGCGCAGGTAGAGAGTAGTTAAACCCAGTCGCAAAAATATTCGAACGGCCAATTTATCGATCGTGTAACGGCGCACTAACGCCGCAATTACATCGGAAAAAAAGTATTCCCTTGATCTTTTGTTTGTGCGTGTGTGTCGAAGGTAAGCAGGCAACAAAAAAAGAAGACGTTATTGTTGTTTCGTGCATAGGATTTTTATTGCTTGGTATTCGCGTGTGTATATCAAAGCAAAAAAGAAGGTCGTTCACTGCGTTTACGAGCGATGAAGATTCAGCCTCGTTTGAACTTTCTGTTTTAATACGCCTTCAGAGTTTCTGGAATTTTATTTGCCTGTAACTATGATTACGCCTGATATTCAATTGTAAATGCGCGGTTAGTGAGTTTTAGTTTTGTCTTTAAGCGTTATAAGTGTTAATTGAGCGTCTTATTGCTACGAGACTTGAGAAATATTTTTCAATTGGTGATTCGATTTAGCTTATCACGAGTGAAATACTTTGAAAAATCTAATTAATATGAAATTATTTCACTGCCAAACGCCGGCATTAAAATAAACGTGCTCGGTTTATGATTGTAACACTAAATGTGGCTAATGATGAGCTTAGAATTGATTATATTTTTCCTAGGTCTGGAGAAACGTTTACTGTCATTTCAAGATAGTCACATGATACTGCCCATTGACTATGATTCTACCGAAAAAATTTTAAACAACAATAAGTTATAGATCATATTTCGTTATTCAACGTAATCATTACAGCAGTCATCGTTATCCTCACAATATTTCTTGTGCAATAACTCAGGCGGTGATTTAATCACCTCCCTGAATGACAGACCTCATCATCTACGTTTCTTTCTCTTTTTCTTTTCATCGACATTTAAATCTTCAAAGAGAGTGATGTGTTACGTAAAATTTCGTTGAATGACGCAAGTACTTGATCGTATCACCGAGTAATTGTTCCAGTGCGCGTGTCACCTTGACTTTTCTGTCACCCCAAAGGAATTATAATCCTTATAATAAAATCGCAGATTGTAATACATCACGTCTAATTGAAATGACGATACGAGAGAGACAGGACCTTATTAAGTTTTTCTTACGAAAGATGTGACCCCGATGGATGTCGCTCGGGATCACAATTATGCAAAACAAAGTGACAATAAGGCTGATGGATAATTTGAATTGGAATGCACGCTTGCGATGAGAGATAATATAAAAATATGTGCATGTAAGTGCGAACTCGTTATCCGCGTTTCTTTTTTTAGACGTCTGCGCGACGATAAAACTCATGGATTATCACGCCGAGTAGATGAAAATATACTTGCGACCTGGGTATGATTATACACTGCGGCTACTTATCCTCGCATACATACACGCCTGAGGTTAATAGTTTAAGGACACTTTC